TGACAGGTAAAGAATATTCTTCTCATTCAATTATCACATTTTCTACTTATTTGTGCTACTTAATGACTAGTTTTTGCTGCAGAAAAGCTCATGTGGCTCAGCTGTTGAAGCATCTCTCTTTTCTACAGGTTCACAGAAATAAAGGGGGGCCACACCACAGAGCCAGATCTTCTATTCTCTGCTGACAAAAATCCATCAGCCTACAAGGAGTGGCTGAACACACTGCCACAGAATCCAGACGTGGTCTCCTATTCACTGGACTCGCTGCATGAATTACTGCCTGTAAATACCTCTGTCAGGAAGAACATGCGCTTGGCCATCAGCCATTACATCCTGGAAAAAGGCCTGTGGAAGAACTGTAGTGAGCCCTGTCAGGCCGGCATCAAGAGCGACTCCAGAGATTCCTGCGTCTGCCAATGCCACAATGACCCTGCTGTAAACCAAGACTGCTGCCCAACGCGCAAGGGCATGGCACGGGTCATCGTAACTGTACAACGGGCCGAGGGACTGTGGGGAGACCACACCACACAGACTGATGGTTATGTAAAAGTGTTTTTCGACGGACTGATGGTCCAGCGTTCTCCTGTCATTTACAACAACAACAACCCACACTGGGCTGTGGTTGTCGACCTCGGCCCTCGGGATGTGTCCTCAGGACAAAGAGTGAGATTTGAAGTGTGGGATCAGGACAACGACTGGGATGACGACCTGTTGGGACAGTGTGAGCAAGATGTGTCTGCTGGAGTTAAGGAGGATATCTGTACTCTGCAGCATGGCCGGCTGTTCTACAAATGGGAGGTGAAATGTGCTCCGAGTCTGAGTGGAAGTTCCTGCACGGACTATAAACCTTCAGTCAAAGTCTGAAGAAGCTGTATGTGTCCCGTCATGCTCACCCTGTCCCAAAGGCTATGCTGAGAGAGATGGGTGTGTTTGTGGATGAGCCGAATCCATGGAGAAACCAGTCTTACTACAGAGATTCAAAATATGATATAACACCCATGCTTGCCTGTAATGAGGCTAATGTTCAAGGCATTAGCATCATTTTACAACATTCATGAGCTTAATCTAAGTGAAAGTTATCTATCACTTTTACCCCACATTAAATCTCTAGTGACGACAAAAGATCAGAAATACATCAGTTAGAAAATAATTGACAAAGTGCAAATCAATATTAGCAAAACATCCCTGATATCTTGTGTATATATAACAACCATGCTTGGCTGTACAGAGGCTGATATTGTCTAGTAAGAATCAGTACATTATTCAAATTAGGCAAATGGTTTTATCCTTAACTAATACTGAGAAGTGCATCACTTCACCACATGGTAGCACATCACAGAATTCTTATGTGTTGACAAAGCAGTTTCAATTCAGATATGAAAATTGTTCCTAAAACTTGGTATATTCAGGTTATTTTCAGTTTAAGTCGTTAATCATCCATCCATCCATCCATCCATTTTCCTCCGCTTATCCGGGACCGGGTCGCGGGGTCAGCAGTCTAAGCAAAGATGCCCAGACTTCCCTCTCTCCAGAACTCTTAATGACTTACTAAGTATCAAGTAAGTCATTAACCAAAGTTTTAATTTACAGTTGCACAGTTTATAACTTCTGTTTGCTGAATGATTTGTTTTTGACAGCAAAGTGTTGTTAAATCTAGGCTCACAGAAATCATCAGGAGCAAGATTTAGATGACTGTTGTATTGTTATTAATGTAGAAACATTTAAAATATGAACAAAAGCAGTGACAGACAAGATCGTTTTGTCCTGTTCATATATCTGCATATTTGTATCATATGTGTTCTATTGTAGATGTTGTTTTTCACAACATAGCAAAGCATATCCGGTAGATGATCCAAAGTTTTATTCATTATGTACAACATATGTACTAGTGTATTTTAATCACAGTATAATTTTGTGTATTTATATTACATGGCTGTTTATCCACAATAAAAGCAACTGTCTGTAGTATTTCATGCTTCATTGTATTAGTTTTATTTTAGATTTGAATGTTGGTGTTCTTTTTGTCTTCAGCTGTGTTGCCTTCATGAGAAAGGAAGTGGTAAGACTTCCTGTGTACAAATGAGGCTTTGCTTACGCAATTAAAGAGAGCGATGAACTCACGTAAACATTACACAGAAGCATCTATTCAGCATCATGTGACAAATATAATTTATTGTCAAGGTTTCATTTTAACATTACTTTAAAAACAGACAATTTTCTTGCATTTATATATTTTGTGTTCACCATCAACTTTTCAGCATTGACAGAATAAGAACGGTGGAGCACGGCAGGTTTTGGATGACAAGACAGGCTTGAGTAACAAATGTCTCCTTACAGACAAAGACATTCAAAAGATAAAAACAAACAAGACAATGGGACAAAATGGAGAGACACATACAAAAAGAACAGAGCACATTATGGAAATGATCCACTGGAAGAAGTCCAAGTCATTTGAATTAGCCTGGTTAAAGACAATGAGGACATGGGGCAGAAACACAAAGACACTGAATCAGTAAAAGATTGGATGAGAACAAACACGAGATTTTGCACAGTAGCAGTGAAACCATACAATATCATACAAAAATGTCCAACAAATCAGTTTTATATTAAATGTAAAATTCAAATGGTCTTTTTTAAATACAAAATAACAGATATGTCAAGCTGATTTTCTCAAAAAATGAAAGAACCTGCTTCACCCATGTAGTGAATTTTTTACAAATAGTTGTGTGCTTTAGATGGCCCTTCATGCACCGAGTGTAAATCTTCCTTCACTCTCACCTTTGTATCCCTTTCCCAGGGCACCGTTCGCTCCACCGTATTTTCCACCCTGCTCCCCTGTGAAAGGATCAAGCCAGTTCTATGTCATGAATGTGGCCCAAAGGAGGCAGCAGCAGTAAGACAAAAAGGCTTGATAGGTAGGTTGAACTTTGCAAAAAAGAGCTTCTGACTTTTATTAGTAGACTCAGCCAACTCACTCTGTGGGCTCCATATCCTTGAGTGGACACTAATCTATAATACATGTTAGTGTATTTTTTATGCACAAGCAGTAAAAGTATATATTCAGAGCACATAAACAGCACAATTGGCTGTTCAGAGTTCATGGTTCTAAAATAACTTTACATACTTTGTTTGACTCCGAAAAATGTGTTTGTTTGAAAGCGTAGCAACAGTTAAGTACATACAATCACACACTAATAATGTGTTAAAGCTATTTCACAGCTCGGCAAAAGCTCACCAAAGAGAGTAGCAACTGATAATGAATGAGGAAGTCTGAGGTTTTATTGCTTACCCAAGGCATCTTGAGTCACCCCTAGCTGTGCACCGTAACCTTATCAAACACATGCAAACGAATTTACACTTACACAATGACAAATACACAAAATACATTTATCTTATGACCTGGTGGTGTCTGGACTTCAGAAGCTAGCAGGAGAAATGTGCTGCTGAGGGCGATCCATAAAATTTAAAATCTTGATTTTGTACAACATACTGATACTAAAAATATTTATTGTTCTCATTCTCATGCAACACTTCTGTGAACTGAACTATTATGCACTGCTGTGACAAAAAGACACACAACAAAGGATGTGTGCTTCTCTGAGTGAGAGAATGTGTAAATTCACCTGTTTGCCGAGCTCCATATCCTGCACCAGCTTCTGAAACAACACAAAACAAGTAGGTAGTTGGACTTCAACAGGGGTAACAGTGAAGAATTAGACAGAAGTATTGCACTGAGCTATAATCACACACAGCACAACATCACCTTCATGTAGATGGGGAGTCTACTATCTCTGCTTACTGTTAATTCATAACAGTTGTAAAATGTATGAAAAACTACTCTTTTGCTTAATGTTTCCCTTCTTATCTCATTTTAGTATTGTTCAGTTTTTACTCGTATCTGTTTGACTCAGGGCTTCAATCTCTGTTAGGACTTATCTGGTTAAATGAAAACTAGTCAACTCCCCCTCAGTACTTTTTCCATCGCCCAATTTGTCACACTCAGTCACTCATTCTCACCATAATTGTTGGTGGTTTTGGCACCTTCAGCACCAATACTGAGCTGCTGAGCAGCATACGGGTATCCACCCTCACCTGAAAGGATGAGATGTACGTTAAATGTGCTAAAACATCAGTGGCGTTCTGGCAGCTGTCATGCTATGGCAAACAAATAGGGTGGGTGGGCTTATTGTAGCAAAATGAGAATGCTGTACATTTTTGTGTGTTTTTCTTTGGGTTTACTTCTTTAAACCAATGAGGGCCTAAATCTGGGGGGTTTGATTTCATTTATTGTACTGCATAGCACCGTGAAACTGTGACTGAATAACATACCAGTGAAGTAACTTGACTTAAAGCTACAGTTTGAAACTTTTTTCAAATATATTCATTGTAGTAATCTGCTCCAAAGCTAGTCTTAATGTGGAGAGGTGGTGTCGAAGCCTTCTGTGACCCAAACTCTTTGAACAGCACTGGCAGCAGTGCTAAGACATTAGCTTCTAAAAGGTTTTGAGTGGGACTGACCTCTAACCAATCAGAGATTTTCAATTATTTCTGCATGATCACTAAGTTTTGTTGCATTCTCATTTACTGTAATTTCATAACAACAAATATCTGAAGAGCGTGACAGAGCATAGTAGAGCAGGGAGAGGGAGTGCTGGGTGGAGCAGAATGGAGTGATGTGGTGTTTCATGCTAGTGCTACCTCAAGTTACATACTGTAGCTTTAATTTCAGCTTTAGAATCTCATATAAAGTGTTCTGATAGATGAAGCAAAAGAGGGAAATGTGTTATTTCTATGTAACGAGACACCTCTCAGCCAACTCTTGGCAAAAAAGCAAAGCTATTGTTTTAAGCCGAACTGACTCTTGACTCCAACTTTGTTCAGTTGGACACCTTTGTATTTTCACTGGACATGATAGAACTTCTTCATGATAGAACTTCTTACTGTGTACATAAGTTTGAGTTAACTTGCTACAGTGTGTAATATAAATGTACTGTATTTTACAAAATTTATAGTTACAAATGAAGTTGACCTGACACTGATGTGCAGCTCCTACCTTCCAGTCCAGCTGGAATCACTGGAGCACCACCATAAGGAACCTGAGCGCCTCCTCCTACTGCAGGAAAAACAAAAGCTGATAGTCAAACTGGCTTGTATTTCTTCTCTTTTCTCACACTTTTAAACGTTTGGGCTATCATTCAGTATTGTGCTAGCTACTGCTTCTGTTCTGACTCATGCATGGAAAGCCACATTGACAGAAGCTTTGACTAATAGTGTGACAGAAGGATGAGGTCATGTCAATGCCTCTCACCATATCTACCACCGGTTGAGTCCAGTCCCACACCAAGTGCTCCTGAAAGAGAACAAGAGGGGCTTCACTGACAAGCTGTCAAACATCAGGGAAAATATATTCAGACAGACCTCTTGTCGGTGAATTGGAGGTTCATTTCCCTCCATGTGTTTATTGGTTTCTCAAAAAGTAACAGCATTGGCTCAAATGCTGAAGTAGAGAGTACTTTCAATTGTCAGGTGTAGTTTTTATGCTGCATTTATTGTCTGATTGGAACTATTCTACCTTTTAATAGAGTATCAACTCATAAGTTACTATAAACCAACTTAAACTATTACAGATCCTACATAGTGTCCTCTCTGATGCTCCTCTACCCTTAAATGTCTTACCATACGCCCCCTGGGCTTGTCCAGCATAGCCTCCTGTACTGAGAGCTTTAAAAAAAAATCAGAAAAATATAAATGTGAAGGTCAGACACAGTTTTTTCATTAACTGATTCACATGCGAAGAACAAACGGAAAAGCATCTACAGGAGCAGAAACCCAAACCACAAGTGGTCAGCTTCTATACATGAGAGGCAATAGCTACACCCAGTGGATGACACTGGACATGTTCAGCAGAGGAGGAGCCCCTTGTATTCTCAGATGTTGGCGGTTAAGCATCTACGGGTTAGTGCTATCGCCTGTTGTGTGTTTCAGCAGGTTATATCACCTCAAAATTATTACCTTCGCTCTTCCCTGCTTTGTTCTCAACACCACCAGCTAACTCTGCGGGGTAAACAAGCCCTGAAACATAATTTTAATTAGCACTAGGATTATGTCAGTGAACCTTCGACTCTTTAAACAGACTGAGTTCCCCTTTTCCTCCCATTTTTTTTAAGACAGCACTCACCCGCTCCATAACCATCAGTATAGCCATTCCCATAACCTGTGGAGAGAAGGGGCTATATGTTACTATACGTTACTTATGCATGCCTGCCCAGATAATGCTGTTGTACCAGCATTTCCACCCACAGAGAGGACAGAGCAAACACAGTCACTAAACACTCACAATTTGACTGGTGGGATTTCAATTTTTCGGTGCATGTACTCATAAGGTGCCACTTACCGAAACCATTGCCTGCTAGAGCACCCAGGTATCCTGTTGCTCCGTCACCATAGCCTGTGAAAAAAACACATTCAAAACATACTGTTGTGGATATACTATCACTAGTTGTTTAATTTGTTTAACAGAAGATATCCATATTCAGCCTGGAGGTGGAGGAAAGGATGCAAATAGAGACAGATGGACAAATTATGCACAGCTTCACCAACTGACTTCCACATTATGCCTTGGGTATACTCACCTTGTCCAAGTGCAGCAGCAGGACCTAAGGTTTATTTTAGAGAGTTGGGAGTTAGAACACAGTGCAAAGCAGAAAATGGGTGCATAAATCCCTTCAGTCACAACCAAGCAGCAGCCTCCGAGGCTGAGAAACAAAGCCAATGCGCTGCCAATGACGTGCCAAAACCTGCAGTTCCTCAAAGGCCGCTTGAGGCCGCCTCAAAAAGGGAGTCAATCCCCATAGACTCTCATGTTAAATTGTCCAATTTTACAGCAAAAATAAACATGTTTACAGCCTGGTACAAAGGACAGTTTTGGTCTCTATAACTAAATTCCC